CGGTCACTTGCTGCATGCAGACAGCTGTCCTGACAAACTGTGACAATTGAGAGAGCATGGAGTGAGGGTTTCAGAACATGCTGCAAGGAGATGGGGCCTCGCTGGCAACGATGAGAGGTTCAGTAATAACATGTGAAGATTCTGCTTTATGTCTAATAATGTCTCAGGCAGGGCAGTTTAGCACATGAACTCCAATCGAGCAATAATATTATTATGTGGAGACCTTAATGACGTGTTGCTAATGTCAGATAAACTAAACCTCACGTGCAGGTTAACAGGACTGGCTCCTGAGCTTAGTTATACTACAGTATATGAAACCCTGGCCGTCTGAATATGTCTGTGTGTTTGGCTGTAACTTGTACCCAGGCAGACACTCATTACATATTTAAGAACATGAAAAACACAAGAAAGATCAAGAAGGTTAAAAGTCCAGATTTTCATTTAAACACAACACAGTCAAGCTTACAGCTTTCCTAGCGCAGTTTAACGGTCCAGATTTTACAAACCACCATCTTGAGTCAGGTTTCTGGAAAACGCCCATTCTTGTTTAGACTTATGATCACTGCTGCTCTGATGAGCCCATATTGCTGTGGAGAGCACAGCGTAGCTAATGCTTGACCAGCATGCTGCAGTTCCACATGTAGCGATGTCGCATACAAACAGTAACAGATGCACAATCTGTCGTTAAGCTTGATCAGAGGTGTTCACTTTGTTTGAACATCTATGTAGCATGCATCTACACGTGCCAAACAAAAGACGTATACAGAAAAGAGGATGAAAGGCTAAACGTGCTCCTGCACGCTCAACAATACTCATCTCTTACAGGACAAGTGAATTCTTTCCAGTAGTGTCACGGCTGCACGGTGCCACTGCTATTTTATATTTGCCTCCTTCATTTTTAAACAATCCTTTGACTCTCTGGCTTTGATAAACTTTTGAAGGCGGCAGAAGATTACACGATTGGATTCTGAGTACTACCGACCAATCAACGATGGGGGGCGTGCGAGTCTGTGCAGTGAAGATGCTCGCGATGGTTTTTCAGAATAACACAAAAGATTTGGGTTGGACACCTCTCTTGTGAGCAGCTGTCCAAAAAACATGCAGGGGACTTTTTCAAATGCATCCGTTGACGGACCGGGCGAACAGTCAGCACAGTGCTCATAAACATATCTTTTTATGATTGATTTAATTGACATAAACTAATAAAACGTATTTCTTTCGCTGGAAACTTTCTTCATGTGTAACAGGATTACATTCAACTTTTTATTTTCAGTGGGCAGCAATATGGAAAAGGCAAGAAAGGAAAATGCGGGGTTTGCAAACAGACTGTGTTGCGTCCTCGTCTGTGCTGCGTGCACCTCTCACCAGATGTGTAACACCATGCAAATACTCCACACTCCTAAAAAAGTACTGATTTTGGGCTTAACGTGAGTTTAGAAGCACTTTCTCGCAGACAAAACTCCACGGCATAATTCACTGCACCACATCTTATTTTCCGTGTGTTGTTGTCCTTCTAATTTTACACTTGATAGTGATACCAAGAACAAGACTATGTGGGGAATGCCCAAATTTTTCACGACATTCAGCATTTTTGGATTTCCTCTTAAAAGTACTGCTGGCAAACATGACCACTGAATTTGCGTTGAGCTTGTCTGTCATGTATGTAGCATTTGAACTTTGCTAAAGCCCCTACAGTTGTTGTAAGCATCTGAGATTTTGCTTTGTCAGCGAAATTCTTCTAATTCCGGACTGAGTCCATGACGTTGGGATGAGGGCTCTGTGAAGGCCGCTGCAAAACTCCTTGACCTTCTTTTCTCTGCAGAGAGGACTTTATGCCTCTCGCTGTATGTGTGGCTCAGTGCCACGCTGCAGAACTAATTCAGTGTTGATGACTCTGATGATTTTACATGATGGAAATAATGATGTTCTCAAAAAGTTGCAAAGTACTGTCTAATCTTTTTTATTAAATTTGCTGCTCTCCCACATAATACAAGGCCTTTTTCCTCAATAGCACAGAAAGTGAAGACGTGAGACACAGACACACTGATAAACAGAGCGGCAGAAAGTATACAGGCAGAGCCAAAGAGTAAGAGAAAGTAAGAGGAGAAGTGGAGAACGGGAGAGCACTTTGCACAAAGGAGAAGGCCGGATTAAGTCATGAGTGGCAAGCGACATAGGTTGGATTTTTAAAGAATGAGATCACATCCCTTTCCCAAAACAGAAGAGGAACTCATCCTTGGTTGGACAGGACAGCCAAGCTGAGTCCCACCACTGTCTGTCGGTCTCTCTGTGTATCTGTGTGCAACAAACGGGACATCCATTACTGAGCTGAGACAGTGGCATGCAGCCCTGGTGCCGCACACAGGAGGCTCCACACATGTCAGCAAGCTGCACACTGTGGCACACAACCAGGGAGTGTGTTTGGGTGATTCTGCGTGGGAAGTATTGTGCGTGCTTGAGTGGGGCTTTTTCTTAGAGTAAGCAGGCATTACATGAATTTTGATGTGTACATACACGCTGATGTGACAACTAGTCATGTTGATAAAAGCAAGCATATGTGCATATATATATGTATATATATATATATATATATATATTTACATGTGTCTTTTTTTATTACGTGAAAATTAAGAACATCTCTTAATAAGGTAGCTTTAAGAACTCCTCAAACACAGTGCAGGTCTCCAGTATGTTTCTGTAGGCACTACAAGCTAGTAACACACCAACTGCCATAAATTCTGACTCATTCATAGATGACTCATTTGTGAAAAACTTCCAACTTAACTGTATGCCATAGTAAGGGTTCAAGTCACTGCTAAAATGCCAATGATTCTATTAGGCATGCAGTCTCTAGGTAGACTGGTTTGTGGGTAAGTGGACTTTTAACCAAAGATCTGACTCAACAGTCACATTTACTTCACATTAATATGGAGTCTGCAACAAACTGGGCAACATCCTGTCAAAGAAAGACTTGGTAGCTGAGGCTTTGAGGATGAATATAACAGGCATATGCCAGTATGTAGCGACACAGACCAAGCTGTGATGCTAGAGGATGCCATCGCCCACGTCCTGCACACCACCCTCAGCCACACGGACAAGAAACAGGGCAACACAATAGTGCCCTGCAGACTGTTCACTAAGCTGAGGGATCCAGGACTCAACAGCCGTCTGTGTGCATGGGTGTTGAACTTCCTCGGTGGCAGTACTCAGGTGGTGAGGGTGGGTAGATGCGTCTCTAACAGCATCACCATCAACACAGGAGCACCACAGGGGTGTGTCCTCTCGCCACTGCTCTACTGCCTCTCAGACTGCGTGGCCACTCATGGCTCCAATAGGTCTGTGAAGGTTCTCAGTCATCCAGGTCATCGTAGTCAAAGGAGCTTGCAAAGAAAAGCGTCTGGACTTCTTTAAGTTGCTTGAAGACGTTTCACCTCTCATCCGAGAAGCTTCTTCAGTTCTAAGGTCAAATGGTGGAGAGTCCCAGATATAAACCTAGTGGGAGTTTCCCCCCACAGAGGGACAAAAGGACCCCTGATGATCCTCTAATCGCCTGAGCCAAGGTGTGAAACTGGGTGTGGGTCCCAATCAGCCAGAGTTTCGGGTGTGTTCATTGTGAAACCTGGCCCCACCTTATCATGCGAATTCCTGAGATCAGATGGCCCAGGATGTGAGTGGGCGTTAAGGCGTCTGGGAAGGATCTCAAAACTGGATTATAGATGGCAGAGAGTTGGTGTCGTAAACCCCGCCTCTGTTCAAAGATGGTCGCTCACAGTGGACATAGATGCTTCTTTCACTCCTCTTTCAAACCATCTGTCCTCTCTGTCCAAAATGTGAACATTGGCATCCTCGAAAGAGTGACCTTTGACCTTTAGATGCAGATGGACTGCTGAGTCTTGTCCTGTGGAGGTGGCTCTTCTGTGTTGTGCCATGTGCTTGTGAAGTGGCTGTTTGGTCTCTCTGATGTAGAGGTCTGAGCATTCCTCGCTGCACTGTACAGCATACACCACATTGTTAAGTTTGTGTTTTGGCGTTTTGTCTTTCGGGTGAACCAGTTTCTGTCTGAGCGTGTTGCTGGGTCTGAAATACACTGGGATGTCATGCTTGGAGAAAACTCTCCTGAGTGTCTCTGATACACCGGCTACATAGGGGATGACAATGTTGTTGCGTCTGTCCTTCTTATCCTCCCTCGCTGGTGTCTGATCTTCTTTTCTGTGCCTCTTTGCTGACTTTAAGAACGCCCATTTAGGATAGCCGCACGTTTTGAGTGCTTCCTTTACATGTGTGTGTTCCTTCTTTTTTCCTTCAGGCTTAGAGGGAACATGATAACCACCTCCAGCTGAACGTCGGCAAGACCAAGGAGCTGGTGGTGGACTTCAGGAGTAAGCACGGAGAGCTTCTATCCTCCGTGTGTTGAATCAGGAGCTACGTATCAGGTCACATTTCACTGCGTGTTGTACTTGTATAACTACGCACGTGACAAATAAAGAATCTTCAATCTTGAATCCTTTTCATCAAAATGAAGAATGGTATCATGACAGGCAAAATTGAGGAATTTATTGGCCAGACACGAGCCTTTTTAGAGCCATTTTTGGAAACTATATCAATAGTGGCAGGTGCAGTATTTCAAAATAAAAGCTTTAAAACAAAATCACTGTGTAGATTGCAACTACAAACAGTACAGGTCATTTAAAGTCTACATTTATTAGAACGACATATGTTAAAACTGACTAAATGTATATTCATAATATGCACATTTTGGACCCTACTATAGCTTGTTTCTTGGGGGAATTTTAATCCAAAGGATGCAGATTTACTTTTGTTACTGAAAAAGATGCAAACACTGACGCACTGGGACACAGCAGGAACGCAGGTCTAATCTCCATCTCTATCACACATGTTCGATACCTATCCATTTCAAGACTATGAACAAGCTTATTCCACAAAAGTGCAGCACACTGCCTCTATGCTGCTGTTATTTCCCACAGTGCCGACTGGCTGCTATAAAGAGATACTTTGGAGCAGGTTTAGCTTTCTCCCACACACTATCCCTCACTTCTTTCACCCTTCAGTCCACTACCCAGACCAGTCATAACTATGCACAGACATCAGGGACCAGTAGAAAACTCTGGCCTCTGTGCACAGATGGAGACGTTCTCAGTCTAAACGCTATAAAGAAAAGGAGAGTGGAGAGGACGAGTAAAGGGATGAGACGGGGGTCAAATCCAACAGAGAAATCAAAACATTTGTAGTTTATTATGGGAATTTTACTCCTTTCCTTCTCTCTCCCTCTTTCCAGCCTCCCTCCACCCCTCCATCACCCCTCTCCAGACTGGGCTTTCACTTTGGGGGGCCCTCAGCTTCCCTCTCGGCTGATCAGGGAGCTTTCAAGGTACCCTGATGGATGCTAATGCTGGACTCTTTCAGATCGTTTTACAGCCGGAGCCTTTGATCTGCCAGCAGGCCTCTCTCCATGGGCTGCCTGTCCTGAGAAAATGTAAATCCCCGCCTTACAGACACCTGTGAAAAAAATACAGCAGAAAGGGGTGGGGGAGGGGGGGGGGCAGAAAAAGAAGTTACTCTAAAGAAAAGGGGGAAGAAAAGATACAGTATTGTGACATTTGGAAAAAGGGGGCATAGTTTAGATTGCAGCAGAGTGACAAAGAATGAGATGGAAATTGTGCGGAAATAAGAGTGAGCAGCAAAGAGGGGACAGAACTGCAGAGAAAAGAGTAGAGAAACCGAAACATGGCGAGCAACAAAGAAAGGAAAGAGGAATGGGGAACACAAAACAGAGGGACAGAGGGGACATGGATGGATGTAACTGAAAGAAAGGCTACAACAGCAAAAAAGAAGGAAAGTTAATCTAAAGGTCCCAGCGTGCACGACAGGAAGAGAGAAAGCCAGATAAAAACAGCGGACTCAAAGTCCGTAAATGCGGAGACAGATGGACAACATGACTTTGGGAGAAATAAAGAGAAAGACAGAAAGCGAGCTGAGCCCAGACAGACATATGAGGCACGCTGTGCAGTTCAAGGGGCGGATGTGTCTATACAGTTGAAAATTTAGGAAGGAAGAACTGAAAAAGAAAGTATGTTGAAGGGGACTCCGGTCAACAGAGACCGGTGACAGCAGTGAAAGAGGCCTCCCTCATCAGCAGCAGCAGCGGCAGGGCTCTGAATAGCAGGGCTGCTGCTAGACAGCTGGGTGCAGCTGATCTTTGGAAAGACTGTGGAAGAGCGCTTGTCTTCCTCCAGCCAGCTGCTGTGTGCAGAGGCCCTCAGTGACAGCACAAGGCTCAGAATTGATTACCAGGGCTGGCAGTTCAATGGGGTGGATGGATGGAGTGCAGAGGGGTCGACTTCTCCGAGGTGGCGTGCACTGTACGGCAGCAGCAGAGCGCAGCTGCTACTTACTGTAACCTTTTCCAAGAAACAAACAAACCAAAAGAAAAATGATTATTATTGTTCTGACGCTGTCTTCTCTAAGCTTCGTCTTCCCTGCGAGACAGGCGTTTCTAGCAAGTGTGTCACAGACGAGTCTTGGTAAACAATAAGGTACAGAGGCGCCGTAAACCACACGGACACGAGCTCGCCTCGTATAGCTTTCTGTGTGAGGCTCTAGCCCTGCGTCTTGTACTGAACACTGACTTCTGTGAGACTTTCATTGTCTTATTACATTCAGGGGTCGAGATGGGAATGGGAGGTTAAATATACCCCCGCTGGCGTGGCTATAGTTCTCTAGTTCGTATGGTGACCCGCACACCTCGCTGACTCGAGTCAGTCTTCCTGCTGAGCTATCAAAACAGGAACGATGTCATTCCTCTTGCAGTTCTTGGGCATAAAACCAAACCCGAGGTCCACAGTAGCAGCGGCATCCTTCTGCCTGCGTGTCTGATCAGGGCACATCCGGCCATCCTGACTTCCCTGCGACGCCACCAGGCCTGTGTGTCATAATAAAGGAAGGAAGGAAGGCCCTGCGGTCCACGAGAGGGAGGGCTTTTTGAGAAAAGGAGGGAGGAAGTCTGAAAGGGTGTCTTAGCTGGAGTCGATCCACTCCATTGGAGCCCCTCACTATAGAAGGGTTGTTTGGACAGGGACAAGGCCGAGCACAAGTGTGTGTGTGTGCACCAAGATCATCACAGAGAGGGAAAGTGTTTTGTTGTATTTATTGATGGCTCAATTCAAAACATTCAGCACATAATTCTAGCTGAGCCACAGGCCTGCTGGGGACAGAAGATGGGTGTATATGTGTGTGTGTGACTCAGTCTTTCTGACACTGAGTGAGACCACAACGGAAATGAACTGAGTCATCATTTTGACATCATTTAAGAGCACACAAAACCTCGAGTGCTGTTCATTTTTGTGCGAGAGAAGCTGCGTGAAAACAGCAGTTCTTCTACGTGTTGCTGGTGCAGCCAAGAGCATCACCTTAGCTGGAGATTTTGCTTAGTAACTCATTTCTGCAGCCACATTTACGAGACGACACAAGCCATTTCTGCAAAAGGAAAATCTAAGTGTCAAAGCGGTGGCAGAAAATTTGCAGTTGCCAGTGAAGTGCTAAAAACTGCCAGCAACAGATCTCGTCTGCTTTTGGCTTTGTCGCTGGCGAGCAGGGGAGAAGTAAGTCCATACTGGAGAACGCTTTGGAAAAGTCTTTTCCTGGTGTGAGCAGCGGGTGGCTGGGATCAATACTGCCATGCACAGAAACACACAACCGAGCACACTGCTTACCAACTGCTACAGGTGTTGTGTCCACTAGGATGGCGTAATCAGTTAGATTCCTGGAAGGAAGGGCGAGTTAAGAGCTAAATGTGGAGCAGTAATCAAGGAATGCCTGGCAGCTGCACTTGAAAAATATATACACTTGGGTTTCACCTAACAGACAAGTGCAGTAATAAAGTCTGTTACTTTATAAAATAAATAATTGAGCGGTCACTTGTTGCACGCTTGTTTCAAGCTACAGGAGAAATATTTGGCGTGTCGAGTTCGTGTGCAGCACATCTGACAGCACTCCTGCTCCATGTTTAAAAAAGCTCCCTCAGCACAGTCTGCCAGTTACAGTTAAACTTCAACCATAAATCAACACATCACTTCCTGTATTGAGTCATTATTGTTTTGTTGATTTATAATTTCAATCCTTTCTTCGGTGCATTCAGCTGATAAGACTCACAGTCGGGGCTTGAAAAGGCACACCCTCGCCTGCTCTTGTCCAGCTACTAAAAATAAGCAGTGAAGCAATGTGAAAACACTGCTCTATTTACATTCTGTTAACTTACAGCCTCTACACTGACTGTAGTGCTGAATCGGGGCTTAATGACTGAGGGGAAATTTCACTGCTTTTTCCTGGACAAAGGACACGGCGAATAACTGCAGATCCTGCAGAGAGAAAGAGGGTGAAGTGAGTTAAGAAGAACATGGCTGGAACGTGCTCTTGAAAGCATGTTTGATGTAAAAGAGGAAGAAACGGGAAAAGAGTAGGGCTGAATAGAAGAGTCCCCACAGGGCCGAGTGTGTAGATACCGTCACATCTCATTCCTTCCTAATAGCCAGAGGGAGGCGGGGACAGAGATAAGAGAGACTGCAGGCAGACTGTGGATACAAATCTCTCTAGCAGATTTATGAATGATTGGGATCAGGCGGGCACGTGGTGTGTGATGTGTACGCCCTGCTCAGACCATGCGAGCCATCACGCATCTCCTCTGATGACACTGCAGAGATAGGCGGCGAGAACACAGCAAAAGTCAAGATCACCGGTTCCATGTTCACAGAGTCCCATAAAACATCTAAAGGAAGGGGCGTGGCCAGCGCAGAAGTACTTTCATTTTACCTACCGATCAGCAGGGGGCGACTCCCCGTGGTTGCACAAATAATCCGAACTGTTTGGAAGTTCATAAGAAAAACTTCTCAAAAGAAAAACTTCTCAAAAAAAATCTGACGAGTTTGTGATTTCAGTTGCTGGTTTCAAGCTTCATTTAAAACTGTCTGAGCACTGTGTGGTTACCCTGTGAGTGTCGGGTCGTTGAACAGTCGACTAACAGTCAGTGTGTGCTATCACCCTGGCTTATTTAAATACAGTCTATGCTGCTTTAGCAAAATATTGTCAGTCTGATTTATTATGAAAAATATCGATGAGAATCTGATTACGTCAAACGAAAAAAAATACACTCCCTTTGAAGTGTTTCTAATATTACTGCCAACTTCATAGCTTATTGTCTTTATGCGGGAAAAACACAATAACCTGCACCGGAGCATAAAATCTGGGGATCTTTAGCAGTGAAAAGCCAAAGAATGTCTTTTAGCCATTATGGAGCTTATCTGCCTGAAGAATAAAGACAGCGGCAGCATTGTGCGAGTTCCACACTGTAAGAATATCTCCAACAATCTTGTTTTAAGCTGGAAACAATTTAGAAAGTCTTGGATGAGTAAAATAATCACATTACACAGTCTTGATTGAGGCATTTAGGGACTGATGGAGAGCAAAATGGTTTGATTCGGGTAACTGGTCACAAAACGTACTTCATGTATTTCATATTAGTGTAATGTGACAGCGGTCGTGTCATCTACAGCAAAGGTCGCCCAAAGCCAAGCACCTGATAATGAAAGAGGACTATTTTGCTACTGCTCACCCACCCCTCACCTCCCAAACCTCTAGTGAGGAAAAAGAAGTAAAAGGAGCTTGTTTGCATCTTATCTGCAGGAAATAGCATTAGCCAAAATTGTACTCTTGGGTTGGGGCTTGAAAGAGATGGCATGGCTGTGGCCATCATTAGCCTTGTCCCCCGACGTGTGGCCTGCCTCTGATCCAGAGCCAGGGCTGGGCGGGAAGGCAGAAGGTGGGCAGGAGAGGGTCGGCAGTCCTGGGTGGGCTCCGCCGCTTTGGCTTCGCTAATGGGCTGGCAAACATCAGCCCGGTATGTCGGTATGCAGGCCACCAATGTCTGTGCTGACGTCAGGGGGTTTACAAAAAACTGGCAGAGAAACAAGTAGCAGGTACCCAGCCCACCTACCCACCGACGCCCACGCCTCACCATCCCATCTCTGACTGAAGGGAACCAGCATTCAAAGCAGCGAGGCGCTTCTGCTCAGTCTGGACGACTCGCTGGGATGTCTGTGTCCATCTTTGCATGTTTTCTTCTTCTCACAGGGGGCAAAACGGTCTTTCTCAGCTCTCACATCCCACAATGCCCTGCACTGCTACCAATGAGAACTAAAACTTTTCCCAGCATTTTCCACAACGGCAGCTATTTTTCCCATGCTCTCCTTTCACAGAACCCATTTGGGGCATTGAGGCTATCAGACTGAGAGCTGAAAAAAAAGTTATCCATTCAATGGGCACAAAACACTTCACAGTATAACCACACTGTTTATAATTACATTCATTGTTCCATTAGTGTAAAAAACTGCTGTTAAACAACTGTCTCCCAGTTGACTGTACAAAGTGAAGCATTACATGATTCACGTCCTTTCAGAAACAAAGAGATGATTGCAAAGCAACATTTATAGCCTCTTTTGTGCCAGCGAGTCAGGGTTACAGGCTTGGCTGTCCTTGAGCCGAACCTACAGCCTGCTCAATAGCAGAGGCATCTCAACCTTTGCTCCCAGTCCTTTACAACATAACTATCCAGCAGCAACACAACCCAAGGCAGCAAGCACCATCGTGACCAGGACAGAGCTGAAGCAGCAGCTATCAGACTGCCTACTGATGGGACACTAGTGTCCTCTGTTGTACTGCAAAGACACTGTGATGTACAGTACAAAAACAGGAAGTGGAGGAAATGTATATTTTATAAGGCCTCTCTGATACTATAACAAGAGGTTCTCACAACAATAAGACGAAAGGCTGTGACACCACGACGCAGACCACTGGCCGGCTTATCAGAGGGCTGCTATTAATACCAGTGAGACTTTGTCCCCACGTCCCCTGGGGGAGAAAGATGGAGGAAGTCATCGATTCTTCCCACCATAATCTCTGGGAAGGAGAGACCTTGCCTTTTCCCTTTTGGGTGACAAGGGTTATTATTCTAAAATTTTGAAAGGGCCCACACAAGAGCTATTTCTGTGGCATTGGAGAGGCAGTTTGATCCACAGCAGCACCGACAGTCACCATTAAAGCCTCCACTTCCCAAAAATGTGGCCTGATCTCCGGGGATCATTTTATCTATTGAAAGCGCTGTTGATCTCTCCAAACACTAATTGTGTGTTGATATTATACCAACAGGAAATTGGCAACAAATCATTTGTTTAAACGCCTGAACCTAACTTTGTGTTTACTGGACAAGGTCCTCTAGTGGCAAAGGCAGGATGCCAACATTCACTAAGTTAGCAATGCTCTCTTAAAAGATTTCTTTCTCAAACCTTATGAAGATCTGGACACATATAAAAGCAAAAGTTCTCTTCTTCATTTTGCATCAGATAAAACAAAAGATTCTGCGATATTTCTCAGCGATTACGTTGAGCAAATCTGTGGTATTAATCCTGTTAACTCCTTTGTAGATGTAAGAATAGGTACGATTTTCTTTACTTCCTATCTCTTTGTTCTACTCCTTTCAACAACACTACGCATTAAAGTGAATTTAATCTACTTATCAGACTCTTGTTCACCTGCTATAATATAAATGCGTCTCAAATGTCCAGTAAAACCTTCTTAATAAGCAGACGGGGGAAACTTGATCTCAAAACTAAGTGAAAGTGTGAGATATGAAATTATCATTGTAAGAGCAGCTTTATCAGAGTCAAATCATGGCTACACTTCAGGTTTCAAAGGGCGAGTGACGTCGATGACACACTAAAATGCTTGTTGTAAAGTGTGACAGCTGCCTCACCACCACACAAAGCATCTATAATGTATTTCAAGATGTTTGTCTTTCTTTCTTTGTGGAGATTAGAAATAAGCGATGCACGAGCAAATCCACATCAGGACTGTTGAAATATGTTTTGCACTCAGTTAGTATTGTATGTGTGGATGTTTTTAAACCAGAAAACTGTGCTGCAGTTGTTTTTGTAGTTTGCTCTCGTGTTAGCGTCTATGTTTAACACTATGTAAATTTCATCTGATCGGCGAAGATATGCTCTCGTTTCCTCTTTGCTAATTGTTAGGTCACATTTTTTGAGCTCAGTTTGATGATTATGTTTCTCCCAATACAGAACATCTTTATTGTTTGACTTTTGAAAATCATATAAAGCTCACATTCTCAAAACAGGCCTGTGAATGAGTGTTTCCAGGTCAGTACTTCCAAGACAAAAAGTCACCAGCACATCTAAATCTGAACAAACACACCGAGTCCTGTTCACAGATACAGAATTTCACATAAACAAACAAATAATAAATAAATTAAATAATATCAGCACAATACTATCAGTGCTGGGATAACTTACATTTTTGAGTGAATAAAAAGTAACAACATGCTCCGTAACTCCAAAACCTACACAATGTATCGAATGTGCGACTGTGACGCTGATGCAGCTCGTTTTAGCGCCGCACAGCAAAGATGAAGAATATCTTTATGTGAGCGCTGGAATGTGATAACAGGAGGCTTTCCTCACAAATACAAAAGTCTAAGGCGCTTGGAAAGAAAAGCGTCTGGACTTCTTTAAGTTGCTTGAAGTCCAGACGCTTTTCTTTCCAAGCGCCTTAGACTACGATGACCTGGATGACTGAGAACCTTCACAGACACAAATACAAAAGCAATGAGGAAAAAAATCTAAAGTGTTTCAAAATAATTATACAGTTTTTAAATTTTTTTAAGCATTTCTTATTTTTCATTTGCAATGAGCTTTTTTCCCATTAAATTCAAAATGAGTATAAAATAGATTTATAGATTTATGTATAAACACACCATAAATATTTTTACTTCAATCAATGAAATCTAAATACCTTTTACATATTATATTATTACCTTTTAATGAGAAAGCATCTAAAGAAATATCAGTAGTGTTAAAAGCAGCTGTACATAAGGACACATGTGGGATGGTTATGAATATTCTTTTTTATTTGTGACGTTATGAATGGCAATAAGTACAGTCCATGTGAATCTGTCATGATCCTGGGTCTTTTGACCCAGCGTTTTAAGTTTGAGTTTATTTTGTTCATTAGGTTATCTAAGTTCATTTGGTTATTAGACTCCTTGTGTTTTCTTCCCCTGTATTTAAGCTTCCCCTCACCCTTCGTGTTTCATGCTGCGTGTCTTATGTTATCAAGTTTGTATTATCATGTCTGTCTCATGTTTCCTGTTTTATTTTGAAGGAGTCGTGTGTTCTTTGTTCATTGTATTTAGTTTCACTTCCCTTGTCCTGTCATTAGGCTCATGTCAGTCAGCTGTTCCTCCATGTGTTCCCACTTCCCCTAATCACCTCCTGTGTATTTAAGTCCTCTGTTTTCAGTGTGTGATGTCAGGTCGTCTGTTGTCCACGCCATGTTTCCCATGCTTCCAAGTTCCTTGTCTAGGTTTTTCTTATTGTTTGTTTAGATTTCCCAGTTTAGGTGTGTGTTAATTTTGCTTCAGGTTGCCTTGCCCTTTGTTTGTACCTTTTTTACCAGCCATATTAAACGGCTCGCTTTTTGTTAACATTCAAGTTTTGTTCCTTGGAGTCTGCATTTTGGGTCCTTTTTTCAATTCATGCAGTCTGCCCTCGCCAGACTGTGACAGAATCTCTGTCTGTGGTGGGACTAAGGAAATAAACTTGTGCAGAGCAGTGCGCTGACTCCGCCCCTTTTCTTTCCATATAGTTTCAGGTTTGCTCAGCTGTGAGGAGAGCAGGCAGCTGCACAGCGCTAATCCTAACAGAACACAAGTGTTCTGTTTCTGTTGCTGAGCGGCAAACCATGTGTCAAAAGTGTCGAGTCACCTGTTTATATGTTTTGAACAGTAATGTTCTGTCATCTTGGTTTCTAATTAGTTTGTCTTTAGTCGGTGCAGATGACAGAAGCCACAGCTGAGGTTAGCGAGGGCATCTCCACCTGCTGCTTCCTCAGAGAGATGGTACTCGCAGATACCGATTAGCGCATACTCCTTCAATTTAAAAAGAATAAATAAATAAATGTATAAAATAATATTTGTATTATGTATGTTATTATTTATTTATTCAATTGTTTTTTTTTATCACCAGAAAGTGAAAAAAGGGCTTAAAAATGGTGAGATGACACGTTACCATGGCAATATAATTTTACAGTACACCTATGAGTACCTCACTGTTGATATGTCTCATGTCTATCTTTTTGCTGAAAATACTTTTTTAAATTAGCAAATTAAAAAGCAAATCAGTCATTGTGTGAAAAATGACAGAGGTAGAGAAAGCACCTAAAGCTAACATTTACAGGAATCCAAGCTTATGTGGTTTCGATGGCAGAGAAAGACACAATAGTATCATATCATTGTGATACTGAAAATGACAGTAACAGGGTCAATAATAGATTCTCTGCTGACCTTTACCTGACTGAAAGCTGCTTCTCTTTCAGGGAATTGCACACTCGCAGAGCGTCTTACGATAGACGCAGCTCAGTTAATACCATCGAAATACACCCGACCAACACATTAGTCAATTAGCTAATCAAAAGCGAAGGCAAAGTGCACGACTGCAGTGAGCGTAATCCCTGCTGCAAATTAAGTTTCACGTCTATAGTGAGAGAGCGTTATGAATAAAAAGTTCCACTCCTCCCTCATATATCACTTTTTCAGAAACATCTCTGACAGAAGAAAACTACAAGCAAGAGCAGCAGAGAAGCTCCAGCAGGAGACCAGCAAGACTGGTTTCAATCAAAACAAAGCTACAAGCCCAGCATTGCTATGATCTATTGTTAACAGAGACGGTGGCATCTGGGGATAGAAGGGCCATCCGCCGAGACCATCTACGCAGTGAGAAAAAGACCTTTTCTTTTAAAAGCATCTCCAAAACATCAAGGCGCAAACGTGCCGTCGGGCACACGATGACTGTTCATACACAGCCAATGAGTCATTTAAAACTGAATCAGTCAGGCTTAGTTTTGCCCGAGATCGAGCGAGCTGAAACATAAAAAAGGGCACAGATGAGTAGTTGCTCACAGAAATCAGCAGCTCATTGAAATAAGGTAGTTTCCTCTTACCTGCAGTCATCTCCCGAGGCTTCCCCCTGATATGCACCTCACTGATAGGATCCCAGTCCTAGAGGATACGATAAGTATGCTCAATGACATGTCAGAGATCTCACATTTGTACAGTGTGCAGGGATTATGCAGATTCTGAACGGTTTGACCAGATTGGAAATTCCTGTTACTAACAGTCATAAAATACACTGACGCACACTTTCCAGCGTCGCGTTTAACAGAGTTATCGTTACAGTTTAACTGACTGTGATTTCTTATGACAAAATCACAGCGCAGCATAAAACCGATGTAAAGCGAGCACTCAGGGCGGGTTAATAGTCACTCTGCTACTCTTTTTTCCAGGCCTTATCACTCATCGCAATGCCTTGGATGAGAAAAGCGGATTATTCCGCAAAGGAGCCAATTGACTTTATGCTAAGTCTCCTTCCTATCAGGTGTAATCTCCTGCTTTGCCCACAGAGATCATTTTATGTGCGTGATGCAGCGAAGCCCGAGGGCCTTTCACCACGGCGGGTCAGAGAGCTAGCTTCACTTCCGAAAGGTAATGCCCCACTCCTCCCTCCCTCCCGAGGTCCCGGAGGGCTTCATTTAATAGCCAGACAAGGTTGAATTCACCTGGAGGGGAAACCGCAAGGAGTGGGAGAGGATGATAGAAGCCAGTGAAACGCGAAGTTGTCAAAACACATATTTTCTTTTTTCAAACAGAATGAACGCACTGGGAAAACAAAGCAGGTGAAAAGGAGCCAGGTTTCAATTAGATCCCTCAATCTTCCCTTATCCAGTCCTGTCTCTGAAACCCGAGCTCCCAGCCGGGCACATCAGTTACTCACTTCCTGTTAAGCAAATGTAAGACAACGACAGCAGGAAACTATTCAGCTGAACCCGACTCGACTGCCTCTTTTCTGTAACTCTGATGGCATCTGATATTATTTATTAACCTTGTCGAATAACAAATCGTGCAGCTCTGAGCAGAAGCTTTGAAAGTCTGTCATCATGTCACCGCGCTTTCTCCTCTGTGTTCTTCCCTATAGGTCCATGCCAGTGTGCGCTGAAAACGCTCTGCACCATGTCCTGAAATGACAGCAGCTGCTGGGACAGGCCACACTGAGAGCAACCGAATGCTTCAGTGTGGAAAGGGGAATCTCCCACTCTGAACAATGCTCATTCACTCGTTAGTTCTATTCAAACAGCCCTCGCAGGGCCTCTTTTCTGAAGGAGGAGATAAAAACAGCTGCATTTTATCAGGGTATTAGAAAGTTACTCTTTTGTCCGCGTACCTATTTGTGCATGTGCGTGTCTTACACAATGCTAACAGTTCATCCAGGTGGTTGACAACAAAGATGCAAGTGGTGCAGGTAAAATCCCAGACCTATTCTGATTCTCTAATCTCTCTATTCTGACACACACTTTGATTTGTGAGTCAGTCCAAAGCCTGAGTAAACAGCACATTGCGTAGCCACCCAAGTAAAGACCGAGAGCAACTTTCAGCCCACGTTTGTTCAGGGAGGTTCACCTATCTTTTCAACCTCAGGTTAATTGGAGGAACAAACTCAGTTGATTGGCAGACTTCAGTGTCTTCCCCAATCCCCTTTGTGAAACGGTTCATTCGGGACTCCGTTAGGAATTCAGCCTCTCTATTTGCCGTTCACTAGCATGACTAAACAGATGTTTCTGCACAGAGGTGAGGACGCAGAGAAGCATAAATAAGTGAAAACACACAATTACAGTGCTGACAGAGATGATCCAGCTCATCAAAGATTGAATAAACATTAAGAGAACATAAGAGATTACAGAGGAGAAAGGAAAGATAAGAGAAGGAGAGAAAGGAGGCAGTTTGTAAGAGGTGCATTCAGGTAACAGGACAAAACCACAGATTCCTCTCCTGTTTTTCATGTTGAGACAGAAAGGGAAGCTTTGACTCAGTTGACTGTTTTTTGAATTTGATGAAGCATTATATTGTGCTTTATGTAGAAGAAACCTGTTTTATCTACTTTGTTCATCTTTTGACAAAACTGCTTGCAAAAGCACACGGATGGGAGGCACAGTGGTTAGCGCCATCGGCCAAAGTAAGTCTTGGGTTTCGATCCGCCGAACGGCCGAGGCCTTTGCATGTTCACCCGGTGCTCGTGTCGGTTTTCTCTGGGTACTCTGACTTCCTCAGTCAAAAGACGTGCATATTGTGATAGCTGCTGAATATAAATTGGCAGCGGGTGTGAATGGTTGTCAGTCGTGCTGGTGACAGACTGGATACCCTGTGACAGCTGGTACAGGCTCCAGCCGAGCCACAGCCCTGAATTAGGCAAGTGGTCCAGATGAGCTTAACAACAACAACAATAATATTAATTGTTAGAATTTACTCTAATGCAAGTGATGGAATAAATCTTTTTAAATCAACCCATCCATCCATTCCCCTCTGCTTATCCTTATCAGGGAGGCTGGAACCTATCCTAGCAACCATGAGTGGAGAGGCGGGGTCCACCCTGGACAGGTCACAGCCTGATGCAGGGCGAGCACAGAGACACAGAGTCTCTGTGAGGCAACAGTGCTAATCACCGCGTCAACGTGCTGCCCTTTTTAAAATACATAAAACAAAAAATTAAACCGTCCAGAAACTGTTTCAAGCCGGACTGTTACCAAACATTATCGTAACCAAAATTAGCAAAAAACTTTATTATTTGGTCCGGAAATTATTCATAATCATGAACATCAAGCTAATAATGTTATGATTGAGAAAATGTTTTTTCCAGGTTATTATAGTTGTTTTTGTGATAGCTATCACACTCTGAGTGTAAGAACTGCAAGCATGAATTTAGTATACGTCCCTATTATTACACAAGTGTGCAGGATCGACAGAACTGTGCAGACATGTAACATCTTCTTATACAGTGGGGCAAAAAAGTATTTAGTCAGCCACCGATTGTGCAAGTTCCCCCACTTAAAATGATGACAGAGGTCAGTAATTTGCACCAG